TGAAAACGATATTTTGATATGCAACGTTTTGATCACACTTGTTTTTTTTAATGAGATATAAGCAATCAGAAATTTGGCATCTTTAGTCCGTGTTAATTCGTTGAATCTGAGGAGCATTAGTCCTCCCAGCCTTGCACAAATAGTACATTCTCTTTTTGCTGACATTTCCACACAGGCAGGAAGACCTCACCAAACCTTTTTCACTTTAGTTCCCTTGAGGTGAAGGTAGCCAAGTTTAGAGAAGTGATTCGGAGTTGTTAGTTTATTTTCAACCATGAAGGTCTAATCAGAACATATTCGCTTTACTAACTTTTGGACCAAAATAAATCTTTTTTTCTGGTTAAGAGAATTCGAGGTATTTTCTAGAATATCTAAGCCTCCACACTCATTGATTGCTCAAACTTAACCCAGCTGGTTTAGGGAGAACTGCTTCTCTTTAACCAATCGAAACAAGCGTTTAAAGAGAGGTCTTCTCTCTTCTCCATGAATGGGGTGGGGTATGGTGTTTCGAGAATGCAAGAAGGTCTCTGTGAGTCATGTGCTTTTGGGGTAATTTTGGGGGTGAGAAGAATTTTCGAGGTAGAGTGGTAGAGAGGACTCTAATTTCCCAGTTTCTCACCGTTTTTTTCTAATTATCTACCCCCTCCCCCTGTCCCATTGCTTTTCAACTCTCCCCACTCACTTTCCTATTGAATTATAAGTTTTTTTGCTAATCATTGCTTGTGTAATTAGGCCGTTTTTTCTGCTTTAATTCATCTTTTTTCGAAGTGTGTTCTCAAAAAAAACAGATAAAGTTAATGCACTCGAAATAGTTAAATAATTAGTGCAACTTTTATTCAGATTTACCAACTCTTAGCGCGCTAGTTAGGCAAATTTGGGAGGAATTTCTAAAACATTCGTTTAAATTTACTTCAGGTATTTAAAATCATCTAAAATATACATGTTTACTCGTATGTTAATAGCGACTTAGTGGTAGTAATTTTGAAGTAGGGACGGGGGAGGGTGTTGGGTACCGATTTAGAGCACACAATGAAGTTAGAATGTTCCTGAGGTTTTCTTGTTCAAATTCTGGAAGGTATTGACTACTCACTCTTTAATAGCAAGATTTGGCCAAGACCAATTTCCAAGGGAATTCGTGTCGACGATATACAGAGCTTGTTGCATCGATTGGGAACTCGCTCAAGGTGAACTGCAAAAGTAATATATATTATATTTCTCTACACTCAATGAATTGTCTCCTGGAGCACAAGTATTGTGAACGTTATCATTAGAGTTTTCAAATTAAATCAATTGCGCTAGAGTTCGGAAGCAGTCTCTCGACGATGTCTAGTCATCGAAATATAATATATATTCTTGCATTAGTATTATTCAATTTTCATGTTCCCACTCTCCTTCTAGCATGTTTGCAGCAGCCGCAGCGGCCCACATGCATTTCCTTTCGGCAGCTGCCGCAGCAGCCTCCTTTACCAACAGTCTGCCGTCGAATGTTCCACCAACAAGCGCAGATATCTCTGCAACTCCCACATCCGGTGTTCAGCAGGGGGGCTCCGTCTCTGGTTCATCTCCACTCTCCAATACCCGGATGGCTTCCTCGGGGCTGAATCAAAAGAATTTCGACCTTAATAGGCAGAATGCCTCACTGTAAGTGAAGCAGTCTCCATAATATTTCCTGTGAAACATTTATTTATTTGTATCAAATGGCAGGCGTTGTGAAAGTTATCATTAGCCCTTTAGTTGACTTCAGGCTTCACAGAGGAGGAGGAACATCAAAGTGAAACATGTCAAGAGGGCGAGGGGGAACAAACGAGAGTTTCAAAGATGTAAGAGATAGAAAAAGGTGAGGTGAGTAGTGTGGAAGTAGTTGAATATGACATACAATGGGGTGAGGGTAGTTTGAAGTCAGAAGTCAACTGCCAATTAATAGACTTTTGCCGTATGAGTATATGTTGCCCAGGGTGCACCACGTGGAGGTAAGTCTATTGCACACCCATTGAAAGCTGTAATAGGGTTGTGCAAGCTAGGTCAGTTAGATTACTAGCATTGAGGAAGTAATTTTACGAGAGCCAAATCCAGTGGGCAATAGAAACTAGGAAAGAAGATAAAAAATATTTCTGAAAATGAATGCTCAACCTAATTGAACGACTGAATTGGTACTTTATTAATGCCAACTATAGACCTTGTTACTTAAATTAATTCGGTATTTATATTCCAGCTTGACCTTTTCTTCATTTTATAAGACTAATTCGAAATAATACGAGTGTGATGTCTTTCTTCGTTTTAGGCGAATTTGCATATTTTAAGTGCGCTTTTTCCACATTAAGCTAACTTCGATCTTATTTTAGATCCCAAATACCATTGCGGAAGATATTATTATTCCATATTCACCAACACTAACTGTGCTTCCGACAATTTGTCAAACGCCAAGAATCAGCCACATGATTTATTTATCTGGCTGTCCATGCTACTACATACGCCAGCTAACTCACCATGCATTCTTAAATGGGATCTGGCTGATACTATGCTTTATCGCACTTTTTTAATGCACTAAAATTAGTTTATTTTGAATTACATGCCACGTGAATATTGGACTCACGGGAATATAGCCATAATGCATGAGAAACTGTTCAGCATTTAAATTATTCACCGTCCTTTCTTTCCCCAATGATTAATGGCTGATACTTGCCCCACACAACCCTGGAAAACTGACTTCGTAAATTGTTGATATTGTGTGCGTATCGCTACTTATTTGGTTTCAGTAGAGAGTGATATGTATTTTTTAGTTTAACTGGAGTGAGGCTATGGAGCAGCCTAAACCACGTCGAGATTCACTTACCGCGCTGTCCTCTGCAACACCAAGCACGCATTCTGATCCCGTGTCTCGATCAGGACTGATATCGACACCCCCAATCGACCGGGAAAGTGAGTCCGAGGTCGGATCCGCAGCTGCAACTCTTGTTCAACAACCGCCTGCACCTCCACCTCAATTTTACTCCGTTGCCTCTTCGTCCTCATGTGCCTCCTCCACTTCTGCTATGCCCCTTTCGACACACTCTGATATGACCAAAGTTGTGGCTGCCCTTTTGGACCCAGAGTAAACAGGCTTATTCGGCATACTGTGCTGTTCAAGACTTAAATAATTTACATTTCGTCTGTCTTTTTTTCATAGTTGTGGCCTGAGTTATATGGATGGAAGTATACCCCTGCCAAAACATACTTTCTGCGGTTATGATCTCACAAATTGGCTAATTAGAAATTTGATTGATGTCGTCTCTTTGGAAGTTGCGATGAGATATGCTCAGGTAAGCTACTCACCTTAAGTATTTTCCTGCATCTGTAGGGGGGATAATCGTTTAAATTTTGAGGTTATAAAACTCCTTTGTCAAATTTGCTAGAACTTTTTAACCTACTTTACTAGAATATTGTAAGATTAGTACACGACAACACTCAGACATAAGCTATGTGGTTGCCTCGGTCTTCAATGCCTTCAGGGTTAGTTTTGGTGCGGATATTGGCTTGTGGACCATATTGGTTGCGGGCTTTTTCTAACCGAATATATGAGGGGGTAAATGATCTGCTGGCCAATAATGCAAATAGGCCTTGAAGTCCGACGATGTTGAAGAAATATTATGTTCACCAAATCAAACAGTAAGGCTTAATTCGTCATAAAAGCTAATCAACCTTTTTAATAATACCTATCGGAAACGTTTTTTTCTTACACCTGATTAGCCTTAAATACTTACTAAAGAAATGTTAAATATTGATCCACATTTTAGACTCTCCTTGATGCTGGTTACATTTGCCATTCTTCTGGGAATCGGGCCCACAAATTCCTAAATGGCTTTTTCCTCTACACTCTTCTGGTTG